CAGCTAGCAAGTGTCTGAGGCCAAATTTGAACTTAGGTCTTTGTAACTCCAGGCTTGGTGTGCTATCCACTGTGACACCTAGCTGCCTACCCAATTCTTTGCCTGTCTCATGTGCTTCCATTTTTGTCATCTTTGCAGTCCCTTCGAAATCATTACTCACTGTGATACTGAATCATAAGATCGTAGGTGAAGAGTGGGAAGGGATCTTAGAGCTCATTGAGTCCAACCTTCTCATTTAATAGATGAAGACAAGAATGGTTGTGACTTGCCTGAGGTAACACAGAAGTGTTAGAGGAAGTGATAGAGGCAGGATTAGAACCCAGGGATCTCTAACTCCACACCCATTCTAATTGACCTTTGATTTTACTTTCATTTGTCATTGTATTTAGCCATGACAGAAGTGATAAAAAACTGTCCATGACACTGAGCAGGACAGTTACACTTGGTGACTTTCAATGGGCCTTTCCAGAGCTGCTTGGTGGGCAACCATTCAGGGCCATTGCCCTCCCTTCATCACCCAGGCTCTGTGAGAAAAGCTCTTTGTAAATCATAAGGTAAGGTGCAAATGTGAGCTACTGCTGGCTCTGAAGCCAGAGAGAAAAGAGAAGACACACCAGGGCAAAGATTCTGTTTTGTGACTAGCATCTGTTCATGTACCTCATTACCTAGTCTTATTTTCTTTTGCCTCCTAGAGCTGGGACTTTGGGGGAGAGTCACATAATCATTAGGGCCTCCTATTCAACTGTTAGGAACAAATGATATATTTATGAAACAATAACTCCCATTTTTTTAAAGCTAGCATTTTAAGGTGTACAAAATACTTTTCTCAGACAGGTTAAGGTTAAGACAATATACTTGCTACCTGGATACAACGTTAAGAGATCTAGAAGAAGGCCCATCCATCTTGGATAGATGTCAGATAAGGATTTCTGAGAGGAAATGGTCAAGATTTTAGAATAAGATAGTGTAGATGGATTGAGAGCTATATCCTTGGAGAGAATGTTTACCTCCAAATATTGAAGTATTCCTCACAAAAACCCTGAGAGGGAAGAGTGAAATGAGCAGAACCGAGAAAACTTTGTGATCACTAACAGTAATATTGTTCTAAGAACAACTTTGGCTAAGTCATTTTGAGTATTATAAATACTCAAATCAATTACAAAGGATCTATGAAGGAAGATGTTATCTACATCCAGAGAAAGAACTGATAAATAGAACTATATGTAATGTACACATACTTGTGTATAATGATAACCTTCTTTGGAGCAGGGGGAGAAGGGAGGGAGAAAAAAAGTGCACCACAGAAAACAGAAGAAAACATAGAATGAAACACTGAAGAGCAGGATAGCTTTGAAAATGATGCATAGTATTTATTACATAGTTTTTTTAAAAAAAAAAGGAAACAGTGTGAAATGGAAATTCATGTTTTTATACAGAATCCTTTTCTTGTGTTGTGATATATACATGAAAATGTTCCTCTTAAATTTTGTATATAAGTTCAAAAGGAATAAAATTTTTTAAAAATCTCAGTGGTAGATGGAGTAGGCAGGGTGGGAGGGGTGAGAGGCAGAAAAAGGGTCCAGACCAAGGGTGGAGAACCTGTGACCTCAAGGCTACATCTGGCCCTCTAGGTCTTTGAGTGTGGTCCTTTGACTGAATCCAAACTTCACAGAACAAATTCCCTTAATAAAAGGATTTGTTCTGTAAAAGTTGGACTCAGTCAAAAGGCCACACCCAAAGATCTAGAAGGCCACACGTAGCCTCAAGGCCACAGGTTCCCCAACTCTGGTCTAGACTTTTAAGTTCATTAGCAAGAGACAGCTTGGCATAGTGGATAGAGAATTGTCCTCCAAATCAGGAAGACATAAGTTCCTCTGATACACACTGGCTGGGGGACTCTCAGCAAATCATATAACATCTCAGTGTCCTTGACTTTAAAACTAGAAGACGAAGGTGCCATATGCCGAAGTACTATAGGGAGTGCTCTCATTTGAGAGTACTCTATAGTAGCGTCAAACTCAAATAGAAACTGATCCCTTTGGGTGCATATTAACAAATTAACATTTCATTTGTTTTATCGTATTTTTATTTACGTTGAACATTTCCCAATTACAGTTTATTTTGGTTTAGGCTGGTCAAGACAGAAACTGTCATGGGTAGCATGTGGCCAGAGAATGTGTTTGCATGTCTGATATTTCTGCTACACCACAGGGCTAGTCTTATCCCTATAAGAAATTCTCCAGGGAGGCAGCTCCCTCTCCCACAGCAGATGGGTAACTTATCTGCAGCATAGCTCAAAGGTCATTTCCTACATAAAGATTTTCCTGCTGCCCCGTAGCTCAACAGTTTTCAGAGTGTTGTTCATGAGACCCTTTCAGGGGGTCCACAGGGTGAAAACTATTTTCATAATAATGCTAAAACATTTTAATTTGTAATACTACAAAATTAGATAAATACAATCTACACAAATAAAAGATTTGGTGGGGAGGTGGAGGGAGTGACTTCAGTAGCTTTTAAGATTTTAAAGGGGCACTGAAAACAAAAAGTTTGAGAACCACTACCCTGGTAGTCCCTCCCTTCCCTAAATTGCCTTATACCTACCCATATGTATCCATGTTGTCTACCCTGTAAGAATGGGAGCCCCTGATAATGAGGATTATTTCATTTTTGGCTCTGAATCCCTACTCCCTGGCACAGGGTAAATAGAACCTTAAGAAATGCATATGGTCTTAGTCCCTGAGGCACAGAGAGGCTGTGTCTTGTCCAAAGTCACAAAGCTAAAAAGTGTCAGGAGCTGAACTTGAACCCAGGTGGCTTTCACTCTGAACCCAGAATTCTATATATTACATCATGCTGCCTCTATGAGAGGTAGATATTATGAGTTTTATCATGCCCATTTCACAGATGAACATACTAAGCCTCACATGGATTAGATGAAGTGCCAAAAGTCACATGGGTCTAGACACACCAAGTGATTTTAAGACTCCTGCCTCCATGTCCAGGGCTTTTCCCACTATTCTACATTTTATTCTGTGATTGTGTGATCTTCTACAAACTTACCAAAACTAAGTATCAGAAGATCCATTTAAACATGCAAGTACCTACCACTACTTTGGGAGCCTTTACCCCAAAGAAAGAGGAAAAGGATCTATATGTACAAAAATACTGATGGCAGTGTTTTTTCATGGTAACCAAAAAGTGGAAACTAAGGGGGTAGCTTATTGGAGAATGGCTAAATGAATCATGGTATATGAATGTAATGGAATATTACTCTGTGGCAAGAAATGATGGAACTGATGACTTCAGAGGAAACTGGGAAGACTTTTATGAACTGATTCAGAGAAAAGGGAGCATAACCAAGAGAACAATTTATACAATGATAACAGGATCACAGAGAAAAAGACTTCAGAATTTTCATCAACACAATATAATGATGAACCATGAGTCCAAAAGAATCCAGAGGAAACATGCCACTCACCTTCTAAGAGAGAGAAGATGAACTTATGATGCAGAAAGAGACACACGTTTACAGACAGAACCAATGGGGGAATTTGCTTTGGAAGACAATGTAGCTGTGTTTTGAGAGACTTCCTTTTCTTTTTTAAATTTGCTGAATGGGGAAGAGAGTAGCAGGAGGGACAGACTAATATTTTAAAATACTTGTTACTCGAAAAATAAAAATAATAAATTATTTTTTAAAATAAACCGGCAGGCAGATTCATTTAAGAAATGCAAGCTTAAAAAAAAATGGAAGAATTACTTGCCAGGCAAAGGGATTTGCCCAAGGGCTCCCTCTTGCTTTTAGGATCAGTTACAAATTTCTCTAATTTTTAAAGCCCTTTACAATCTGTCCCCAGCCTACCTTTCCAGGTTTATCGCAAATACTCCTTCAAAGCCTTGACATTCCAATCAATCCAGCCAATCACTGCTCTCTTTATGTGCCATCCTGTTCCTCATCTTTGTGCCCGTGCACTGGCTGGCCCTATTCCTGTTCCTTACTCCTTCACATCCCCCTCAGAGAATCCCTCTATTTCTTCAAGACCATCTTCTGTGCGAAGTCTTTCCCGATCCCCCCAGTTTCTGGGGCCCTCTAACCAAGCTACCTTGTGTTTAACTACTTTGGTTTTATTTGAATTTATTCTATTTATATTTATTCTAAACATGCTAATACATGCTCTTCTCTCCCCCTTTATCTTTTATCCACTTATCTTTTTGAAAGAAGGAACTAATCCATCTTTTTCTATGTATCCTCAGTCCCTAATGCAATGTCTGGCACATAGTAGGTGATTAATAAATGTCTGTTGATTGATTGATTCAAATTATTGAATGATAGATTCAAAGTCCATCAAGTTAGTGCTATATGCTAGGCACTAGGCTGGGTATTAGAGAAGAGATCCAAAAATCTGAGCTTAGTGCCTGCCCTAGAGGGATTTCCCCATAGCTTCACATATGTTGAAAGACCAGCTCTGATTAGTAAGAAAATTTAAATACTAGGCAATAAAACCCATCAAAAAGAATGTAGCATAAAGGTGTTTCCTCCATAAATTCATAGAATATCAACATTTCAGAGGAACATTCATGGCCAAGGGAGTGAGAATTAATCATTATTAAAAATGAACAAGTATAATTAAAAATAAGTATTTGGAAATTTGGGGCTATTACCTTTCAACATAAAGTAGACACTCCCCTTTTGTTTAATTAGTGCTTTTGAGATGGTCTCCCTGGACTGAATCAGTCAGAGAATAGAAGGTTGCTTCTCCTTGCCCACTTTAAAAAGGGACTTAGGGGGGCATCTAATTACCTTATTATATGACAATACTTTACATTTATGTTTATGAATTAGCACATGGTAACAAGTGACTAATAAGTCATTTCTACAGCCGAGAAGGTGGTGCTTTATTATGTCATACCTTTGCACTCATTGGATGGGAGGAGAGCCTGCCTCCCTTTAAAACTAGAGCCAGGATGACTGACCTTATCATTTCATCATTTCAGTTCCAGCATCTTTTTCTGTAAACCAACCACCACCAAAATGATGACTGGAGGCTTAAGTGAAACTAAATCTGCAACTCCAGAAACGCAGAAGATAGTTGACGAGGTGAGGTGGTACTTTCTGGATGTAACTGAAAATAATGGGTTCTGGCAACTTGATAACCATTCTCTCTTTCTCTCTCTCTGTCTCTCTGTGTCTCTCTGTCTCTGTCTCTGTCTCTCTCTCTCTCTCTCTCCCTCCCTCTCTCTCTCTCTCTCAAAGCTTGTCAACTATGCTACGCTTTTCAAAGAACTCCTTTTTAGGTTTGTCTATCATCTCTATGAGGTTCACATTGGCTAGTTTATCCACTGCAACATTTTCTGTGACAGCAAAGAACTGGAAATAAGGTTAGATGGTCATTGATTTGGGGAATGGCTAAATATAAATGAAATAGAACATTCATATGCCACAAGGAATGATAAGTATGAAGAACTTAGAGAAGCATTGGAAGACTTAAATGAAATGATGCAAAGTAAACAGAAACTGACAAAAGAATATACACAATGGCTGCAGCAATGGGAATCTGGTACAGTGATGAGAGAGGCCTGAATTAGAAGTCAGTGTAAGTGGGTTCAAATCCTACCCTCTGAATCTTACTATCAGTATGACCTTTGGTAACTGGGGCTTAATCCCCTTGGGCCCCAATTTCCTCAAATGTAAAATGAAGGGATTGGAGTAGGTGGTTCCTGGTATCTTTTCCAGTTCCAGATTTATGATTCTATGAGGCAAAAAAAGGACAAAAAAAATAGTAAAACCAAATATTGTATAATTATAATGACCAAGCCTGGCCCCAGAGAAGAGATATGGAAAGGTCTTCTTTGCAGAGGTGAGGGACTATGGATGTGGAATGTTTCCTAGACTGTCAGACATGGTTGGTTGTTTTTTGTTGAACTGCTCTTTTTCTCTCTTTTAAAAAAAATCTTTATTACATAGCATGGCTCAGTGGGGAGGAAAGAGAGCAAAGACAGTTCTAGAAACAAAGGTGATGTAAAAACGAAAGGCATCAATTTTTTAAAAATAAATTTATTTATTTAGTTTTACCTTTCAACATTCACTTCCATTAAGATTTTGAGTTCCAAATTTTCTCCCCATCTCTCCCCTCCTCCAACCCCAAGATGGCATGTAAATTGATATAACATCAACACATATATTCATATTAAACCTATTTTCATATTAGTCATGTTGTAAAGAAGCATTGAACCAATGGGAGAAACCATAAGAAAGAAGAAAAGAGAGAGAGAGAGAGAGAGAAAGTGAGAGAGAGAGAGAGAGCAAATAATAAGCTTCAATCTGCATTCAGACTCCATAGTTCTTTTTCTGGATGTGAATAGCATTTTCCATCATGAATCTTTTGAAGTTGTCTTAGATCCTTGTATTTCTAAGAAGAGATAAGTCTATCAAAGTTAGTCATCACACTATATAGCAATTAAATGTTCTCCTGGTTCTGCTCGTTTCACTCAGCAACAGTTCATATAAATCTTTCCAGGTTTTTCTGAAGTCCAGAAAGGCATCAATTTTAAAAATAAAAATATGTGCTTCACTGGGTATTGAAGGACTTTCAGAATTGCTGTATTTGGCAACCAGACATTTTAAAAAATGCGGGAAATTCCTCCTATCAGTAGAGAACAAAATTACATGAAGTTTCCTGTACCTTATGAATAATCAACAGAAACAGATAACTTGGTTTAGTTCATGGACAAGAAGCTAATTGACAAAATGAGAACTTGTTCTTTTGTAACTTATTATCAATCCTTCTTTTGTCAATTAATTTAAACCAATTACAATATCTAGGTGTACTTACAATGCCACTAAGAAATCATGGACTTATCAAACTAAAAATTTACAATCAAAGAAAAAAAAGAAAATAACAGTTTTATGAAGACAAAAATACTATAGAATGGAACAAATTATTGCTTCTATTTAGATCTTTTTAACCATGTAGTGCTTAACATTTTAGAGCCAAGCAAAAATGTGACTTACATGCAAAAAATAACAATGATAACCTTGAATGTTTCCTTGATTTAATTAACTGTTGTCAACACAATATGTCACTGTCATGGGAGATGTCCAATTAGAAATGGGATTCCTTATGGTGGTGAGGCCCTCCAGATGCTCCTGTTTGTGGATAACACTGGGTAGATTGCATCAAACCCTGGGATATTTGCAGACTTAAAGACTCACAATCACAGGAAAAAAAACAAGTGGATGAAGATTGTCCATTGTATAGACTATGATATGTAGTTAAATGAATCGACAGCTTATAGAGTTGGTCCGTCGGTACATCTATCTCTGACAGGCACTGCAGATGGATGATGAAGCAGGCCCAAAATAGAAGAGGAAGAGGAGAAGGAGAGTAGGCTGTATTTTGGAAATGACATAGTCTTTTAATAAGCCCAATTATTTTCCTGAATCAGTGACCATTTTCTTAACACCACTATTCTGATGATGTTCATGGCTATGCATTATAGAATATAAGCATCCCAAATAATTAAAGTTAGGAGGTCACTTAGGAAGCATGGAAAGAAAGACACATGGTGGTTGTGAATAGTGCATTACCTATGAAGAATTACACAGAAGTGACACAAAGGTTATGTTTGACCAAGAGATAGTTGACCATGAGAAGGAGATGGGCCAGTGTGATCCAGAAAGATTCTGTGAGAGCCATAAACCTTATACAGTACAGATACACTGCCTCTGCTCTAGACATACCCTAATTCTCCTTCTTGGCACTCCATCCTATTTATTTTCTGCAATCTTCTATATGAGGAAGAATATATTAGAATTATCTATGCTGAGAATTTCCATGCCCCATTTTTGACAGTAGAAGAGAGGAAGAAATCCCTTGGCCATTCCTTAGCATCTCCTTAACCTCTAACACCCAACTAGGGTGGAAAAACAATCACAGTTGTCTATTAGAGATTCAGCATCCATCCTCTTCCCAAAAAGATTGACTTCTTTTGCATGAAGCAACCCTGGTGTAGAAGCCAGAATTTAGGGGACAATGAGTGATTAGCATGGTATGAATGTGCCAAATCCAGAATCAATGAACCCCTTCCTCCTTACTGTCATGGCATGAAGATCATCACCCACGGCCCAGTGACCCTGCTCTGGGCACTCAGTCCTGGTTGTATCTCTGGCCCTCCAGGGACTGGGATATTGATATATCTTTTCTTCTTAACCCATCTATCCTTGACTCCCTCTCCTCCCCTCATGTCCCTGAAAATCTCGTCTACTTCAAGCCTTACCCTGTGTGAGGTAGGTAGCAAAATACTTCTAAAGTAAAAGTCTATTTTTTCCCATATCATTGTTCAGTCTTTCTTTTCTATGAAAGCCTTCATTCCCAAAATGGTTGAAATGGAATATGATGATCAGACATGTAGTAAAAGTGAAGGGTAATTGATGGATGGTCTGCATGTTCAAATGGTTCTAAACAATATCCAGAAATCCAGAGGAATGGATACTTTACCTGTGGACATGGATAAACAAGAATGGAAGAAGAGGAGTGTATGGGTTTTGATCTGCACTTTAGGAAGGAGTGCCCATATAGGGAGATTCATAAAGCATCAAGGCAAAATCGAATTTACATAAACAGTTTTAATCTTAATATGTCAAAGACTGTTCATGTGTTTCTATGACTCTGAGGACCTTAGAGATGTACTATCTTCTATTAATCTGGCTCTTCTGCTGGGAATTTTATTTCATTAAGTACTTAGTTAATTGTAGATGAATGTAAATATTGGCACATAATGAATTTTTACACTGTATCTGAAATTCAGATACAGGAACTCAGAATACAGGAGGAGAAATAAGACACGTAGATGCAGAAGTAATTGAGAAATGAGAGAGACAGAGACACAGAGAGACACAGAGAGGGATGATGATAGCTTAATATATTGAATCAAATTCCTTTTAGGGGGAAGGGGAGCCTTTCTTTGTATCCCCAGAGCTTAACACAGGGCCAGGCATATAACAAGTGTTCAATAATCACTTATTTCCAACTGTATGACCTTAGGCACATCACTTACACTCTTTGGGACTCAGTTTCTTAACCTATAAAGAGTGTTAGCCTAGATGGCTTATGAGGACCCTTGCAACCCTGAGATTCTATGATTCTAAGAAACTCATAAACATCAATGGAAAGGCAAAAGAAAAGATGGGAAAGAATAAAGCAAGTCTGATTCCTTTGCTTCCTCTCCTCCTATGAGAACAATCACATAGCTCATCAGGGTGGCTACCCTCACTTAATTGCCCTGACTAATGAGCAGGTAAATGTGGTGAGGCAAATATGCATTTGATTTTCAACATGATCAAGGGCAGTGGGGTTCCATTCTAATCCTGTGGGTTTAGTCTAGATCAGACCAGTATGAGAGACTCATTCTTACTGTAGCAGCCTTGGGGTGTTTGAGCCATCCATAAGTCACTGAGTCCTGAAGACTCATACGAGGCTGTAAGATGGGTATTCACTCCTTTGGTGCAGATTGCAACCCCTCTAATCATATAATTTTTGTGAATTTATCTGCAGAAAAAATCATCTGACTGCCTCCTTCCTTAGTTTAATGACTATAGCTACACTCGTCCCTAACTAGGATCTACTCCGGATGTACAATTTTTCTCCTATGGGTAGACTATAGGATTCTAGATTCAGAGCTTAAAAGGCCTCAGAGTCACCTAATCCAACCTTTTTCTTTTACAGATTAGGAAACTGAATCCCAGAAAGATGAAATGACTTGCTCAAGGTCACAGTTTGTAATTGTTAAAATCATAATTTGAACCCAGTTCTTAGGAGTTCTGGATTCCAAACCCATCACTCCTTCCACTGTACTGCCCTTCCTCTGCATTCACAGTAACCTTGGAAAATTGGTGCCAAACTTTATACCCAGAGTCACCCCAGTGGTTAAGGAGGGTCTGGAACCCTCTCTGTCTTCCTGGGGTCCTCAGAAACAGAGACAATCTATGTCCAACTTCTCTACCCATCTGCTGGTGACGTGGACACAATAACATCCTTAAGCCATCATAAGCGTGTGACTAAAGATAAATCCACATGACACCAAAGCAGGAATAGTGAA